CCTATATTCCAAGATCCTATCCTAATATTAGTTTCATTAGTTTCATGGACTAACTTCTTTACCCGCATTCGCCCGTAATGTGGGAACCCTTGCTTATTTAACACTACACCCGGGCGCCGGTGTAGCGGCCCTTGCACACTTTTCACTGTATTCAGGCTATACAGCGCGTCGCTTCCAGGGGACGCCCTAGCACTTACACAATGATAAAAAAGATTCATGTCATGATTTTTTCGATAAGTTTTATGCTGGCTGTCGACTACCTAACGCAACCTTCCACTTTTCGCATCCGGGCTTGGGACCAGCAACGACAGTGTTAGATCATTCCTAATATTTATTTGATTTGCGAAATTTTCAATAGATCATTCCCTTACCTAATATGAAGATTAGACAGTGTTTAGATTGTCTGAGTTACTAATTCTTCTATAAGTTCAAGCCCCTATAGTTAATTACATCTTAAGCGATCTTAAGATTAGGGTTTTGTCTTCAAGAATTTAAAGTTTATTTTTCACAATTGGTCATGGGAAAATCAAGTGAGAACAACTCAATGTGAAATAATTATTTTGGAAACTAAAGGAGTGAAAGGTAGGATATGTCATAGATTCTAAGTGGAACCTCAATGACATCTCAAATTATCCTACTATTCGGCTTTATATTTTTGGAAATGATGTTATCTAATGTTTATTCCTGTCATTTTTTTTTAAATGTAGGACTTACATTATGTGACATACGATCAACGCAGATAGCCTAGGAAGATGGAGGATTTACACCGTACCGAACGAACAATCTCAGGATCCTAAAAGAGTGGAACCTCAGTCCGCGCATTTCCCGTTGTATTTCATCCCGGGTAGGATTCAATTGGTTTCTCGTAGGGGCCATGATTGAAGGTTTGAGACCTGTGGAAGAAAAGGTAAAAGAGAAAAAAGAAAGAACAAGAAGATGGAAAGAAAAGAAAAAAAGGAGAGAAGGAAAATAAAGAAAGAGAATAGAAAGAATGAAAAGAAAAAAAATTGGCAGACTCTAAGGAACCCTATAATAGGATTAGGGTTAAGCTAGCTCCGATACCAAATGATACCGGTGTTAACTCAACCCAAGATGACAAAAAATAATTTTATTATGCAAAAGATGACTCCAACAATAATAAAAACAGTACTAACAATAACGAAGGAAGGTCGGGGACATCGACGACAATGTGGGTGCTTGCCGGTGGTTGGAAGAGGGGCAGCAGAAATCGGTGGTGCCAGAGATACCAACATGTTCGGATGGTTGTTGGAAGGTGATTGGAAGCAGGTGGCGACGGTGTTGGGGCCAGCAACCGGTGTGGGTGGCTACTGAAAAGAGAAGGGCAGCAGGTGGCGGCGTTGGAGGGAGTAGTAGCTGTTTTTGAGCAGTCGGAAGGTGCCCGTAGTAACAGATGACAATGGACCAGCTGGAGGGTGCTGTAGGTGACAAGCGGTCGCCGGTAATGGTCGGACCGACTGCTGGAAGGTGGCCTGTGAAGCATTCGGGCTGCTAGTTGGGTTTCTTGAGGAAGCAGCAAAGCTAACGCCTTGCTAAGAAAAGCTGGAGGTGACTAGCGGCTTCTAGACGGAGTCAAACGGGTTGCTGGGAGGTGTTGGAGAGGATAGACAATGGAGGGATGGGAGTATGCAACATTGTGGAATCGCGGATAGGGAGCTGCGACAACCTGGAGTTGCGAGAAGGGGTATGAGGCCTTTTGGAGTCGCAACCGGAGGCGGCGGTGTCGGAGACAACAATAGGAGCAGGTTTTTCCTAGACAGTGGATGAAAACAGGTGGCGACACTGCTAGGGCCAGCAGAAGATGCGGGCGGTTGCTGGAAAAAAGAAGTGTAGCCGGTCGCGGTTGCGTCGGAGAGAGTAGCAAGTGCTGTTGCGAGGTTGGAAGGTGGCAAAGTAACAGATGCAGATGGATCTGCTGATGGATACTGTAGGTGACAGACAAGCTACCGGGAAGGGTCAGACGGACTGCTGGAAGGTGGCTGACAAAGCAGTTGAGCTGCTGGTAGGGCGTCCCGAGCAAGCAGTATGGCCAGAGACCTGCTAGGGTAAACCAGAGGTGACCAGAAGCTGTTGGCGGATCCGAACGACTTGCTAGGAGTTGCTGGAGAGGATAGGCAGTGGCTGGAAGGGAGTCTGCGACATCCTTGAATCACAGATTAGGAGCTGTGGTAACCTGTAGTCGTGGTAGGTGGGTCTGAGGCCTTCTGAAGTTGCAGCAGGAGGTGGCGGTGCTGAAGACAACAACAAGTGCGGGTGGTTACTGAAAGGTGAATAAAAGCAGGTGGTAGCGGCGCTGGGGCAGCAGCAGGTGTGGGTGGTACTGGAAAGAGAAGGGCAGGAGGAGGCGGCATCATCAGAGGGAGTAGCAGGTGCTGTTGGGCGGTCAGAAGGTGTCCGGAGTAACAGATGCGGATAGACCCTCTGGAGGGTGTTGTAGGTGATAGGCGGGCTGCTGAGAAGGGCCCGACAGGCTGTTGGGAAGGGCCGGACGGACTGCTAGAGGGTGGCTAACGAAGCAGGCAGGCTACAAGTAGGGGGTCCCGAGGAAGCAGCCCTCAGTGACAGGTGCTGTTGGGCGGTCAGAAGGTGCTCGAAATTGCTCGTTTGACAACCATGAAATTACAAATGCAACTAACCTCCAGTAGAGCATCGTTCCATTCTATATCCATGCCCCAGCTTTTTATGAACAGTCAGACGAGACCTTTAAATGCCATTTGTGAGCATTGGTTGCTAAAATGGATTTTTTACTCTGACATGTTCATTATTTGCAGAATATTATATGGATATTACATGGTCACAGACGAGGACTATTTTCATTTGATTTTAGTTCTTCAGAGTTTTTTGTTTGTTACCGTGTTGCGTGTGAGGAATGGCTTCTCTATTGAAATACCTATGCTAATTTGGTTTACTGTTATTCAGTGTTTAATAGAAACCTTCTAATCGAGATTGAAGCTTTTATATGTTTGGGGCATTTGCAAACATACCACCCAATTCCTATGTATTTACTTCTAAGCTAAACCTTACTTTTTACATTTATATCACCCAAATCATTCATATCATTCTTCTAAGCTAAACCTTACTTTTTACATTTAAACTGTCTTTTCTGTATTCTGTATACTTTCCCCGGTTCCGTTGCTACCGCGGCCCTTACGCAATCGATCGATATATATTTCGACACAACATAGGTCATCGAAAGGATCTCGGGCGACTCACCAAAGCACGAAAGCCAGGATCTTTCAGAAAATGGATTCCTATTTTAAGAGTGCATAACCGCATGGATAAGCTCACACTAACCCGTCCATTTTGGATCCAATTCGGGATTTTCCTTAGGAGGTATCGGGAAGGAATTGGAATGTAAGAATATCGATTCATACAGAAGAAAAGGTTCTCTATTGATTCAAACGCTATACCTATGGTCACCCAAATCATTCATATCACATAAAAATTACCACCATTTTGACTTTTAAAAAGTGAAATGCACCTTTTCCACCATTTTGACTTTTAAAAAGTGAAATGCACCTTTTCATGCATAGGTAAGGACCTTAACATGTTATATGCAAAAATTGAAGTTTTGTTGGTAGATATGTAAATACATTGGGATTGAGTGGTATGTATGTAAATCTTCCTATATGTTTTTGTGTTGGTTTATTGCAAATGATAATATCTATATGGTACATTTTACAGATTTCTCATTATAGCTTTTATTGGCTTTTTTTGTGGTGCGAGTCCTATTTTTTAAATTTTGTTGTACCTTAAATTTCTCTTGAAGTTCAATGTTGGCAGCATCGAATACTGCAAATATTTTACTGACGAATTTTCTTTTGTCCCATGTGCTATTTCCAGATCTTTCCTGGAGTATGGGGAGGCTGTTTTGAAATATGTGGAGAATAAACTCAGCTCTGATCCTAAATTGGTGAAAGCACCAATCAACTATGAAGGCGTATGCTCAGTACTCTTACACTATTTAATTATTAAAGGCATCCTGTTTTTATTGTTGATCTACGGAGTTAAAATATGGTTTTCATCGTTGCATGCACATTTGCTTAACTTCTCCCAAGCACGCATGCACACAACTGAAATCAGCACGCTTGTGATGCAGATTGACTAAGGGGTTGTCTGGTAACAACTTTAGTAAATCATGTAAATCTGGATTAACTAAATTCTGCCGGTACTAAAATTTAGTAAATCTGGGATCTATGACAAAACTGAGAGGAATTGAGAAGAAACTGGATTCACTAAATCCGGGATTTAAAATTTATCCTTTTTCTGTAAGGCAAATTTAAGTTAAATCCCACTTAAATTTTTTATCAGACAACCCATAACACTGTATGCTCAGCATCATATTTTACCTATAGATTGAAACAATTTCTCCTTTGAACATTTAAGTCTAGAAGTTTTGGTTATTTGCAAAACCCCTTTAGTAGAATGAAGTTGAACTCATAAACATCGAGACATCTTTTGGTGTAATGGTCGGAGTTTCGATTCGAAACTTCGTAGTTAGCATACTCACATGGGAACACTCTTTTGATGGGTGATCCCCTTGGAAGTTACACCTATGGGATAAAACCGTGAGGCCATCAAATGAAAGTGGATAATATCTTAATGAGTGAGAGTTTGGGCAATTACAAATAATAGCAGTGTCACGAAACAGTCCGGTGCATAGAATTAACTAAGGTGGGAACTATGATTGTGCGGTATTAATATTTCATTTTACATTTAACAAAAATATTTCAGAAACTTCCAATATATATAAATAAACTACTAATTCATAAAGTGTAATAAAATTTAAATCATCCAGAAACAAAATCTAAAATCAACATCTCAAGCCAGCACAGAACATATATCAATATCTGAAAGAAACAGTAAAGAGAAACTACCATCATAAAAATACCTAGCAACAGTGGTTCTTCTTCGCTAAACCAAGTTTCTTCTTTTAGACATATCAACCTATAACTTTTCTTTTTCTGAAAGTAATCATTAATTTTAATCGTAAGTATGTATTAGCGAGTAATTATGATCTAATATGTTTTAAATTATAATGTTTATGCTATACATGTATGACCAAAAGAAAATGCAGCTCATTTTATAAAATTTTGAACTTTCACTTTAATTTTATCTCTTTCCGTTTCATTTTAAGTATTTACCATTTTAATCTCTTTAATAGTCATCACAAGATTACTGTTATAACCGTAGATATCCTAAAAAATGTATCCGAAGACACCCTAAAAATTGTACCCGAAGGAACTCTCAAATTGTACCAGAAGGTACACACTTGTCATTTTCTTTAACGTGCACTGGTAGATTGCATCCCTTGCAAGTATCATATGGGGGTAATCCTGCATGACATAATCTTTTAATTAATATTTCATGTCAATTAAAATCATTTAAAATGTATATTTACATGTCAGTTATTTCCTCCTAATTGTGATATCATATCAGACTTTCAAAATGCTAGACATTAATGAAATACTTGTTTTTAACTATTTAATAAAACATTAATTTAATGCATAAAAGAAAGTCGCTCACCTTGCTTTAAAGGGACCTCTCAAATATCTACCTCTTCACTTCTTTGGACAACCACCTAAAAGCGACCTCTCAAATATCTACCTCTTCACTTCTTTGGACAACCACCTATATTAATTGAAAGTTCATCCTTTAATTAAATACCCTTCACTTTAAATATATATATTTTTGAATAAAATATTTTCATCAGTTTTACCCATAAGATTTTATCTACCCAATGTTATAAAGTAGGAGTATAAATAAAAAATATAAATTACCTCCACTTATCTCTTTCCCGCTTCTTACAAAATTCACGATCCAAAATACTTTGTCTAGTACCTAATTTCTTAAATTCCTGATTCAAATCATAATATTAACATTATATAATTAACACAAGAAATTCATTAATTAATTTATTGAAACTCAACGTACCTTAAAAATTCTTTTGGCTGGCCAAAAATCTTCCTTTTCCCCTCGCACGAAAATGTTCGTGTTACTCCTCCCTCTAAATTCAGGATTTTAATAACTTCATTCCCGATTCAATAAAATCTTACATTAAACACATACATACACACCTTTTAATATTACATTAATCAGCTTAATTAAACTTAAATCTTTATCCTTACTTTTAATCACATGAAGGCCTACTCCTCTGCTTCTTTCTACCTTCGACCTCTGCTCAGCCGTGCGAGCTCGAGCTCCCTTCTACTTCCTTCTTCGGTCGAGGTTCGACCCCAGGAAGTGCACACGAGCACTACAGAACAACTTTAGTCCTCTTCTCTTCTTCCCACACGCGAGCACCACAGGAAGCTCGACTCACCATCCTCTTCTCTTTCGGTCTTGAGGAAGTCAACGCACGCAATGGCTTCAACTCCCCGTTTAATCCAGAGCTGCACACGCAACTCCTTCCTCCTTTTCTTCTGCATGCACGAAGACTGGAGAAGCTGTTCGAATAGAGAACGAAGGTTTCCTTCTGACTTCAACGTCTCCTTTTACTTTCTCCTCTTCTCCTTACTGAAATTGTTTCCCTTCTTCTACTATTTCTTCCTTCCCCTCTCGCTCTCGGATACGACATTTTCTCCTCTTTCGCTCGTTCTCACTGGATACGATCGAATGAGGTGTAAAGTGGTAAAGGTTACGATCTAAATCCTTCCAAGAGGTGGCTTTCCAAATTGATGCCTTTGTTATTAATATTAATATTAATATTAATAATATTATTATTATTATTTTAACTTGCTGCTATTAAAATCTCCTCTCCTCATAAAAAAATCATCCTAAAAATTTTAAAATAAACATAAAAGTGAACATACCTCAAGAGAGAAGTTGAGGATACTTTTCTTTCATTTCAGAGACTTTCTCTCATGTGGCATCTTTCTCAGATCCGTGCTTCCATAAAATCTTAATTTGTTTTCTTTCTTATTTTGCAGCTTCGTTATTGTATTTGTATTTTGACCGTTTAGATGTTGTGGTCATTTATTTCAGGTTTTTGATAAGACTTTGTGTAACCGTTTGCAATTCAGTAAACATGTTTGCATCTCCCATTGTGGTTTGGGTTAACTCCGATATCAATGTGTGTAAGGAAATTAACTAGTACATCAGTTACTGAAGTAGAGGAGATTGTGAAACCCCTCAAGTAGAATGAAGTTATGCTCTTAAACATTAATGATTGGAGTTTCGATAGAAATTCTAAAGTTAAGCTTGCTTGCATGGGAGCACTCCTGGGTTGGGTGACCTCCTATGAAGTTACATTATTAGGATAGAACTGTAAGGCCATCAGACCAAAGCGGGAAATATCTCAATGGGTGAGAGATGTGAGAGATTGGGCTGTTACATTATTCATCTTATTTTATTTATTTTTCTTATTCACGTTTTTGTTTAGACATTTTACTCTTACGTCTAATGGTCATGTTGTATGATTAGGTCTCCTAGGGAATGCAATGAATAACTTCTGATGAACAAAAGATAATTTTTTTGTTATGGTTGCCTCTTCTTCCCTCTCCTATTGAGATAAGTTCCTCTCCTTCTTCCACCTCTCTTCTCTTTCTCCTTCCCTTCATTCCTCCGTTACTCAACTACAATATAATAGTAATATGGGCAGATTCTGAATTTTGGACTTAGTGATTGCTTTTTGTGGTGGAAATTTCTATTCAAAGTTTCTAAGCTCTCTTTTTTGTTATTTATAGCATAATCTTGTCCATCTCTTCCTGTTTTCTTAGAGCATTTACCTACGTACCATCTAATTCTTATGTATTCACATATCGAACACCTAAACTTTACTCTTTACATTTATACTATCCAAATATTTCACATCACATAAAAAAACCACTATTTTAACTTTTAAAAAGTTAAATACATATTTTCATGCATATATAAGGTGACATATATGTAAAAATTGAAGTTTAGGTGTTAGATATGTAAATGCTTAGGAATTGAGGGGCATGTTTGTAAATCCTCCTTTTCTTAAGCGGTACAGTTCTGTTTTACATCATGTCCAAAACCTTACAATCTCTTCTAAGTTAGCCCCATCTAACTGAGTCAAGTCAGCCCGGCTCCTCCAATCAACAAGAGAAAATGCAGAAGCTCTTTCTCAATCAAAATCATCCATCCAAGATGAGCAACTACATCAAGAAGAACTGTTTCGTTAAATCTCTTTGAAGATTTTAAATTTGGGAAGCTGAATCTGATTGTAGCCGTTATTCTATTTGCTGAAAGTTTCCGCTTGTGAAAGTTTTACAACAATGTTTGTAAAATCTGCTGTTCACTGCATTATATAAATGCTATAACCTGACATTTTACTTACTAGTATATCACCCTGAAAGATAAAAATATTATCATAAGATGGATCCAATCATTAATTGATTGTTTCACTACTCCGTGGGATGCAAAAACAATAAACTTTTTCCTGCCCTATAAGGATAAAGTTTATTTTAATTATGGGGTCTGGTATCCCTAAAGAGCCAAGCCTCTTTAGTTAATTAAATCTTAGAAAATAATATTTTCTCAAAAAAATTTCATTTAAAACAGTGGCTAATTCATTTATGCAGAATATGGTAGTAGATATCAAGATTGTTATGAAGAATTTCACATTTGATAGCTCAAATTTAGAACATTACTTATCTGTAGCCAATGGAGGAAAAGTTGAGATTACCAGATACTGAGAGACCCATTAGTTACTCCAGTATATTATATAGACGGGCTTTATAATTTTGAAAGTGAAATGATTATTATTTGACTTAAATAGATTTTAGAAAGTTAGGGCTTGTATTCGATGAAATGAGCCATCGAAAAGCCTATGAGAAGCCAGCTTTGCGGCAAGACCGATGAAACTACTTCAGAATCTATGCTAAGGCGAGTTCTACCAATAAGGTAGAAGCTCGAACCAAACTAAAATGATGGGATTTATGAGCCGCAATCCTACTGATGAATGAAACCTAGTCT